AGTACTAAGCTAGGGTTCAGGTGTCTTTGGTTTGATTCCTAACCCTAGTACTAAATTTTTGCTCTGTAACCTTAAACAAGTTCTCTTAAGTCTCAGTTTTTTATCTGTTTAGGCTTTTTGAGAGGACTAGATTAAAAAGATAGGTGAAAAAGTTTTGGAGGGCATAACTACCCCACTCCTTAAATATGGGCTGCGTATAGTTATGACTTCCTTCCAACCAAAGAGTTCAGTATGGAAGTCGGGGTGGGGAAGAGCTGCTTTCTAGTGGAGAAGTCTGGCAAATACTACCTCAACCAGGTGATCAAGGTTCATATCTTCAGTGATTAGTCATGTTGATAGTATGTGCTTTTTGTATTGTGAGGAGAATGGAACTTCACTGCTTTGGTCTTCTTCCCAAGCACTCATAATTTGTGTCTAGCTATGAGAAAAAATTAGGCAAACCCAAATTGAAGGACAGTCTGTAAAATACCTGACCGGTACTCCTTCAGCTGTCCAGGTCATCAAAAACAAGGGAAGTTTGATAAACTCAGAGCCAAGAGGATCCCAAGGAAACACGACAACTAAATATAATGTTAGGACTTTCTGGATGAGATCTTAGAACCGAAAAAGGACATTAGCTAAACACTAGGGAAATCTGAATAAATGTGGAGTTTAGTTAATAATGCATGAGTATTGTGGTTTTTTAAAAAATATATTTTTATTGATTTCAGAGAGGAAGGGTGAGGGAGAGAGAGATAGAAACATCAGTGATGAAAGAGAATCATTGATCGGTTGCCTCCTGTACACCCCCTACTGGGTATCGAGCCCGCAACCAGGGCATGTGCCCTTGACCAGAATGGAACTCAGGATCCTTCAGTCTACAGGTCGATGATTTATGCACTGTGCCAAATTGGCTAGGGCAATATTGGTTTAGTAATTGTAAAAGACATATGATATTAATCATGGGAAAACTTAGTGTGTGGTAGGAGGTAGGGTTGGGCATATGGGAATTCTTTATACTGTCTGCTCAATTCTTCTCTAAGTCTTAAACTCCCCTCTTCCCAAGAAAAAGTCTATTAATTAAATAAATAAAAAGAGTTTAAAAGTCACTATCACAGATTTGGGCAGATTATAGACATTCAGTGAATGTAATTGAAATTGAAGGCCGGCTCAGAGTGGTGGTCTGCACCCTCCAGGATGAGTGGAATGCAGGGAAGGAAAAGCATGGGGAAGATTGTCTTTTCCTTGCATGAGGACAATGGAGGAGACCTTTCCAGTTCTTTATCCCTCTGTTCCTGGTGGTAGTGGAAAGTTACTAAGAAAAGCCCTGTGAGGAAGTTGGCTGGGGAACCTCCTGGGTTTGGGCTGCCCTGAGCTTGCCTGTTTCACTGCTGTTCTCTGTTGAAGCCTATAAAGATGTGTGTTGGTTCTGGCCCCAGACCCAGACCCCATATTCTAAAGAATACTTTCTTTTAGAGTTTTGGTTATTTTTTCTTTCACCTTGGGTACAGTTTCTAATTTAGAGTCTCACCAGGAACTATGTTCAGTTGTGTGTCTTTTGTGGACCTTAACTCTTTCTTTTCCTTCTATAGGTTTGCTGTCATGTGGACTTGTCTAGAGTCTGAGACCTTTTGAGTTTCTATTTAATTTCCTTTAGAGTTTTTATTTTTTAACTTTAAAAATCCCCTTGACCTCTCCCAATAATGTTGTATAATGTGCCCCATACACTTAAATTGGCAATTATTAACATCAGTACTAAATAAAGACATATACTTAATTTTCTCATTGTTAGAATGGCTGTTAGGGAATAGTAACCTATTATTCTTAAGACAAATAGAGTAGTTAATATGCCATTGTCAGTATAACAAACTTCTATAGAAGTTAGATTGGATTTACTTAAATTTGGCGTTTTTTGTACACTGTTTGACATATTAAAGTTGAGACACCAATATGTTAAAACTGTATGTTAATAAAATGTTTTTTTTTTTTTAGTTAGGCTGTATCAGTTGATAAAACTGCTATATGAAATATATGTCTTGATATGAAAACATCCTATTACATTTGGCTAAAAAAACATGACAATAATATGAACTATAATAACAAAGCCTTTAGCAATTGGAATCTAAGAGAACCAAAAAAAATTTAGAAAGGGAAGAATGCTTTCAGACTCTTAAGAAGTTTATTTAATAATAGAGAAGAAAACTTTATTATTGGGTTGGTTTAATTTTTTTATTCATAGATTCCAGCTGAGAGAGACTAGCTATTATTCTTTTCAATCTTTTTAAATAGAATCTAATTGGAGTTGAAATAAATATTACAGATTTACATTTATAACAATTTAAAAATATCTGTAAATGTTTTACATTGCAACAATAATTTCAAACTATACATTAAGCACCTTCTGTGTGTCAGGCATTGTCAGTGGTAAGCAAAGATGCATTAGATGGTTCCTTGTTATCTGTCAGCCCATAATTTAGTGAGAGAGACACTTAACTAAACAAATGACATAATGAAATGGGTAATATTTAGAATCTTGATGATTAATTGTATGTGAAAATTGAGAAACAAAGGGAGAACTCGAGGTGAATTTTTTTTGTTTTTGTTTGTCTGTTTCCAATGACTGACAGGTGGAAGTACCGTAACTCTGGAAAGAGTATGTGAGGAGTATGGTTGGAGGTGGGGAAGCAAATAATAAATTGGGATTTAGACATGTGGAGTTTGGGAATGCCTTTATACTGTTTTAAAAAATAAGATTTTGTTTTGTTTTTGTTTTCTTAATATATTTTTATTGATTTCAGAGAGGAAGGGAGAGAGAGAGAGAGAGAGAAAGAGAGAGAGAGAGAGAGAGAGAGAGACATCCCCCAAAAGAGAGAATAATTGATTGGCTGCCTTGTCAATGGCCCACATTGGGGATGAAGCCTGCAACCTGCCTGGGCATGTGCCCTTGATAGGAATTGAACCCGAAACATCTCATTCTGCAGGCTGATGTTCTACCCACTGAACCAAACCAGCTAGGGCTAAAAAATAAGTTTTTAACGGATTTTTAGAGAGAAAGGATGGGAGACAGATAAAGAGATAGAAACATCAATGAGAGAGAAACACCATCGATCGGCTGTCTCCTGCACACTCCCTACCCAGGATTGAGCCTGCTGGTCATGTGCCCTGATTGAGAATCAAACCAGTGACCTCTTGGTTAATGGGTTGATGCTCAACCACTGAGCCACATTGGCCAGGCTGAGATGCCTTTAAAACTACATGGCAGATGGGTTCCAAAAGCCATTGTAAATATGGATTTGTAGTTCAAGAGGATGGTGATTTCTAGAGATAAGAGTGTGGAAGTTGAGACCCAGTATTTAAGATTATGCATCATAGATAGTAAAGAAGATTGAGACAAGAGAGTCAGGAATAACATACTAAGGGTTTTTGTGGACATGTGGGCATGTACACTTTACTCTTAGCTTAATTGGAGTCAGCATGGTGTCCTCAGTGTAAGTTCTTAAAATTTGTTTTTTTTCTTCTGAGTGGATGAATTATGGAGAAGGTTTGTATTATACTTATTGAGACAAACAGCTTGAATTATCTTCCCTTCTCTGTCAGCCTTTGTCACTTTTTAGTAGAAACTTGCCCAAGGCCTGGTATGTAATGCCTGTTTTCAAATTTTTTGAAGTGCTTTCCCAAAATGGCCTTCTGTATGTGCTGATGCTGGTTTTTTTAAAATTAATTTTCAAGATCCTGTACTTACATTACATATATGTAATTCTATCTCATGTGAGTTTGGGTTTTTATGAGCATATTCTATAACATTTAACTATAGTTAACACGTAGGTTAACTTGCCTTCCCTAGACATTTCAGAACTTATAAAAACTTGATTTGAATTGTAATAGCCAAAAGCAACAGGCAGGTGTCAGACACATTTAAAAAGCCCTTGGGAAGACTGGAAGAAACCCAGTAGATTAAAGGGACAAAATTGCAAGAGTATGAGGTATAAATATTGCCCTTGAATTTGTGACTGATATGGTGTAAAATAATGAAACAGTAAAAGATAAGTCAGGTTAGTTCACACTAGATTCAACAGCTGGACAAATATTTTACATGCATTTATGCTATTTCTGTTGTTTTGTAAACTTGAACACTTGATCTCAGCCATGGAAACATGCAAAATAATGCTACCCTCAACTAAGCCAGTATATGGTACTGGTAGTTTTCTTTTTCTTTTATTTTTTTTTCCTTTTTTGGATTCCAAAATCTAAAATATTTACTAGTTGGCCTTTTACAGAAGAAATTTGCCAGTCCCTGTTTTAAATGGTATCTCAGTCCATTTAGGTTGCTATAAAAAAATATTATAGATTGGGTATATATTCCTCACAGTTCTAGAGGCTCAAAGTCAAAAATCAAGGAGCCAGCAGATTTGGTGTCTGGTGAGATCCCACTTCCTGGTTCATAGATGGCTATCTTCTTGCTGTGTCCTCACATGGTTGAAGGCCCTTCTGGTAGTTTTCTTGATCACCCTTATCAGTGAAGCACATGGTATCTAGACAGGTGGAATGTGGTAGGACTGACACACCATAGTTATCTGGTAAGTAAAATTGGAAAAGAAATAACTTTATCCAGTCTCATTGATCTTATCTATTCTAGGGATTTATGTGTCACTTTCTTAAAGAGTTAACTTACGAGCAAATATGGGCCTCACAGACCGTACTATATGTACCCATGCTAGCAGCTAACCCTAACACTGTGCCTGATATAGGGTGAAAATGGGGGCAGCGGGTAGACAGAGAACAAGATGTTTATGGTCACAGCTTTGCCTTTGTATTGATGTGAAGTTTTTGGAACATGGAATGGCTTAATTTGTTGAGGCACAAATAACATCTAGTGAGAATAAGCATGCTAAAGGAACTAATTTAATTATAAGCATATTTTTATTTATTCCCCCCCCCCTTTTCTTCTTTCATGTATGTATTTGCTCTTTCCTCATGGTTATATTTATAAAGAACTAAACAGATGTTTTCTTCTCATGCAGGGGCCTGAATTAATGAATAAATATGTTGGTGAATCTGAAAGAGCTGTTAGAGAGGTAAGAACATGATGCCGCAAAGTGGAACTCTGCACAGGAGAACCATACTTCTATCCTCTGTATGATTTCCATTTTGCTTGGGTTACAGATTTTAAAATTTTCAAATCTAAATTCTAGTGGTATATTTTTTCTTTAGGCAAATATTATTTTATTATTTAAAAATGCATTTTTGACCACCTACAATATTTTGTTTTTAAGTCTCATAGTAGTACCATCCTTTAATTTTACCAAATAAAGATTTTTTAACAACTGCCAGCATTTTATTTTAGAAATGACATGTGTATACTTACAAAGAACACATGATCTCAGAATGAGATTTAAATCCTTTAAACTAGATAGTCCTTTAAATCGAGTAAGCTTAGTATATGAAAATGCCACTGTACTCTCCTATTTAGCCTGTGCCTAAGTGATAAGCCACTCCTTCATATTGCGGAAGCTACATGTACTAAATTCATGTAAAATCAAGGTGCTGGATTTTGGTAACAACAGCAGTTTGACCACAAGTCTTGACTTTCCCAAGCGGAGGTGGGCCTGCCTCACATAGGCACCCTCTATCCTCACAGAAGCTAAGCAAGGACAAGAACACACAAATAGCAGTGGAATGGATGGTCTCCACTTGTGAAGTTACCTGAGTGTTACAGATTGGGACACTTTCTTTTTATCTGAGAAAAAATTTTAAGTTACTTTTTTCCTTTTAAAATATAGGTGAAGATAATTGTATAAAACATTAATTGATAATGACAGCACTAATTTAATTAAAATGAAATAAAGTGATCTTTATAAATATTAATGCTTTGGTAACTGTTTTGTATTTTTATGGTCATGATACTTGTGACAAGAAAATGGGGGCCTAGATTTCAGGTAACACACGTTTGGATTTCTTTCTGTCTGTGCGGGCTTTTTCTAACCCATTTCCACATGTCACACTCATGGCTATCAGGCCAGTCACTGGTGTTGATAGTTTGATTGACTTGTGGTATAACCAACCAATGACCTTCCAAGTTTTGGCCACTTTTCTTGTCCCATAAACTATTCCTTTCCCATAAAGTCTTCAATGACATGAACAAGGTGCTTGGTTTGAGTTTATGGGTATTTTATATGCTAAGCTATGGTTGATTTTGCACATGTATGATTTTTCTTTTAAATATGTGTTGGTTATAGTTAATAATACCTGCCACTTACTGAGTTCTTAATAGGTTTTAGGCATTGTACTAAATGCTTTGCATTATTATTATTTTTTATTTAGTTCTGAAAAGAATCTTCTGAGACTGGCATTTATTATTATCTGCATTTTATAGATGTAGAAATAGAAGTTCAGAGAAGTAAAGTTATCTACTCTGAAGGTCATACAACTACTGAAATGGTGGAGTTGGGATTTTAGCTGAGATTGTTTGATTGCTTAATCACATTACCTCCTACAGGCAGACCTCTATGGATACATATTGTTGCCTTACCTTTGTGCAGTGTGTATCCATCTATTATAGGTTGTAGACAAAATGATTGGGCTGATTGTCTTGTACATAATAGATTCAGTTCTAAACAGTTTTCAAACTAAAACCAATGAGAGGAGTTTTCTGGAGTTTGCTGATCTTTCCCTAATGTGACACTTTTCTTTCCACCAGATCTTCCGCAAAGCGAAAGCAGTGGCTCCTTCCATTATTTTCTTTGATGAATTGGATGCCTTAGCAGTTGAAAGGGGCAGGTAGGCAATATTTCATAGGTCTACTGTTAAACATTTGCAATCACAGTGTAGAGTAAATAGCATTTCTTATACCAATTTTACTTATTAGTACATTTGGCATAAAGAAAACATTTTTCAATTCATGTGGTTATTTTCTCTTATACCCATTAAATTACTTCATGAATATAATTTCTCATATACTCATTAAATTATTTCATGTATATAATTTCATATACAATTAAGAAAAAAGCCATACATTGATATCCATTTGGGACATTTGAATTAATTTTTTTTTAAAATATATTTTATTGATTTTTTTTACAGAGAGGAAGGGAGAGAGATAGAGAGTCAGAAACATCGATCAGCCGCCTCCTGCACATCCCCCACGGGGATGTGCCCGTAACCCAGGTACATGCCCTTGACCAGAATCGAACCTGGGACCTTTCAGTCCGCAGGCCGACGCTCTATCCACTGAGCCACACCGGTTTCGGCTTGAATTAATTTTTATAGTTTATTATCTACAGGGATCCCTAGCACTATCAAAATTTGAGTTGTTATAAATATGTGGTTAAAACTATAAATAAAAGCTCAATTAAGCATAATATAATGATACAGTAGGACTCAATTCCAATACAAGATGTTATTTCACAGATGTTAGTATTTCTGAATTAATCATGTTTCCAAAAATATAAATTAGGTACAGTAGAATAAAAATTAGTATTAATAGTTTTGTTCCTGAATTTCAGGCACTGAATATAATTATTTATATTTTAAATATATAATCATATAGTCACACACACACACACACACACACAAATATATGTATACATATCACAGAACTATTTACAAGTATGACTTTTTTTCTCTACAAATGTTTAGAGGTCCTTTAAGGAATATGTGCAAGTACTTCATGTTGGAGAATGTTAATCTGTATGCTCTGTGCATAACTTCCTGATGTATATATTGATTATAAAAGTTCCCTGATGGTAATTACAGTGATGGCAGAGGGCACCATGTAAGCCTCAGGAGTAAATTCAAGAAGAAGCATTGCTGTTCTCTTCCTTCCTGGGTAGTCTACCCTGCCTCACCTGATGAGAATGTAAACTCATTAGGAAACTTGTTAGGTGGGAGCCTGCCCTGCTTTCCTGTTTTATCTCCTGTAAATACCCACCAATCTTCTTTATTTTATGAGTTAAAGTACTTGGGCCCTTTTTATTACTTCTGAAGTGAGATGACACAAAAGGTTGCAAATAGCTCAAGTTCACCTTAACTGTAAGAGAAGAAAAGGAAGCCAGAAAAGTTAGCTGATGCAGTGTGACCTGCCATATTCATGTGATGTTGGGGACATCTGTTTTTGGAGTCTAAAAAGGAACAGGGTGGGATACATTGTTAAATGTGAACCAGATGGGAGGTAGAATATGTAGCAGATTCTCATAAAATGCTTTTAAAATAAAATGGTGTGAGAAACCAGACTAGGCACTTGGCAGAAACAACCTGTTTTTGTAGGCAATTTGGTCAGTAGGATTTTGCTAATGTATTAGAGAGGATAATGATTTGCAACCTCCAGATATCATTTCCTTTAATAGTGTTCATTGTATTCTGTACTGTGTACTTCCCTCCTTCCCTGGCTCCTTCAAATCAAGTACAAATGAATTCTGTGCAGTTTTCCTTTGTATAGAAAACTAGAGGCTCGGTGCATGAAATTCGTGCACGGGTAGGGTCCCTAGTCCTGATCAGAGATCAGGGCTGATCGGGGCTGATCGGGGCCTTTCGGCTGCCAGCCAGGGCATTCCTTCCCCGGCTGCCAGCCGCTGACTGGGGCCTTCCTTCATTCCGTGCCACCCCCTGGTGGTCAGCGCACATCATAGCGAGCCATTGAACTCCCAGTCTTGGGGTTGAACTCCCGAGGGGACACTTTGCATATTAGCCTTTTACATATATATATAGAACTGGGGTCAAAAGTTATTTGACATTTCAGAAAACAAAGATGAGATTGATAAGCAAATGTAATGCTAATGGGCCAACGTTGAGCGTTTTGGTTGTACTTTAGTTGTGGTGAGCCTCATGCGTTTGTTTTTTTATAGCTGTAAGAATCTCATAGAGTGATATTCTCTTTTCAGAGTGGTTGTTTGTTTTTCCTAATTTGTTGATGGGCCACATTGCCTAGAAAATGATTGTTTTATCTAATTGATTGCTATTACCTGAAAACAAAAAATGAAACCTCCACAAAGGTATCTATCAATAGCTGTTTTAAGCTATTAAACCAATTTTTATGCATTGTTAAAGAAATGGAAACATGGAAAAACAGAGAAAAATAAAGAATTCCAAACTAGGAGGCATTTCTACATAATATTGGGCTATAGCAGTGATGGCGAACCTTTTGAGCTCAGCGTGTCAGCATTTTGAAAAACCCCAACTTAACTTTGGTGCCGTGTCACATATAGAAATTTTTTGATATTTGCAACCATAGTAAAATAAAGATCTATATTTTTGATATTTATTTTATATATTTAAATGCCATTTAACAAAGAAAAATCAACCAAAAAAATGAGTTCGCGTGTTGCCTCTGACATGTATGTAATAGGTTCGCCATCACTGGACTATAGAATAGTCATTGCTTTCATTTGTTCAAACAATAACATTAAGATCAAACCCAAATGGCTAGTCCAAGAATGGCAGTGTATAAGAAAGCTGTTTCTTCTTATCAAGGTTTTAATTTCCAAGTTTAAGATGCCTTACAAATTGAGCCGAGAATTATGATGTACTAGTGTACATACCAATCCTTACTATCCCATGCATGTTAAACCAATTATTTTACATACTATTTGTGTAGCTTTAAAATAGGTGTGCTTTCAGACAGATTTTTTTAATACGTAAAAGTGTCTAAGTACACCACTATTTTCTTTTTTTTTTGCCTCATTTAAATTTCTTTGGGACTGGAAAAATAAATAAGCCTTATATTTATTTCTCTTTATCTGTATACTCATTTAAATTATGGTTGTTTTGAATAAGATGTTTTGGGAGTCTTTATTTCATGTTGGGAGTTGGAGGAAATATAAGATCCCTTTTGCAAAGTGGCTTCCGTGATCTCCCTAACATTTGGGAAAATTGAAAGTGGTGTTAAAGTAGCATAGCTCTTTTGAAAATAGGGAGGAATTAAAGCACTAAGATTGGGAAGGGGTTACTGGGCCAATAATATTAGCTAACACTTATTTAATGCTTATGAAACTATAGACTTTTAAGTGCTTTATAGGTTTAAAAAAATTTAAAAAGCTCACAAAAAGGCCCCTGTATTAATGCAAAGTAGGTTATTATACAATTGACAATTGGCTTTGGTACTCTGTTGCATCTGTAGCTACCTTAAGTTTATATATTTTTCAAGGTTATAGTGGGGAGAGCAAACTCGGCAATAATTCATCAGTCAAACTTGTCTTAGGCAGCAGTGGAGAGGTGTAGGGGGAGCCCCATGTACTGTATTGTCTTGGCCAGGCGTCCTGTGACTGAGGACATGGTCACTGGCCTACCTGGAGACTCCTAGAGCAACCTCCTCTGTCACTGATCATGAATCAAGCTCATCAACTGATTGCCTGGTAGTTCCAAACTGCAGGCAGAATTAGAAGAGATTTGGAACTGGAAACATATCTCTGGAACTTAGAGTCACCAGCTGGAGAGGCCCATCTTGTTTACTTAACTAACTTCCAGATAACTGTGACTTCCTTTGTTTGGAGTGACTCCCTTTGTCACAGAACATGTTGTGTGGCCTTTTGTTGTATTATCTTCAAACTACTAGCCCCATGCATGAAATTCGTGCACATTAAAAGGGAAATAATTAGCGGAGATATTTTAATATTGCTGTTTGCCCTTTCTCAATAATAGAAGTGTGAGAGACATTCACACTCAACAATGATAGATGGAAACACATGTAACTGGCGCCAGTGATATATATATATATATATTTCTTTACTTAGACCTGCATTCTGATTAGGTCAACTTATTCCAGCCTAGTGAAGTGCCCCAATTTCTTTTTCAGGATATTGACAGCAACACAGCATAAATACCCATA